CCTGTCATGAGCTAAGTTGGGAAACAGGTCTGGCACACTGAGATCCTACTGTCCCCTTCTGAGACAGCCCCCATCAAACTAAAAGCATTGCTTCAGCAAGCAGCGGAATCAGAGCAGTCTGGAGTTTGCCATGAGTTATATCACATTTAGTCTCACAGGCTAGCAAGACAATCACACCTTGGTTTCCATTGTATTGGGTCACTTTTGCCTTTGGGAGACTGAGAGAAGGTCAGCTACTCCTGACATGGAGAGATGGGCAATTTGAGCAACATGATCCTGCTATTGAGAAGATTTGGGAGGGAGAGGCACTGGGGAAGATGATGACCCAGTCCTGTGCATTAGAGTCTGATGTCAGTCATCATGCAGCGAGACAAGTGTCTGGAGCATCTGAGAAACCAGGGAATCCTGTTTGTTTGGGAGAGAAATACAGTTAACTCACTGTTCTCTGCCTGTGTGAACAGCAATGGAAACGTGCTTTAAGTGATGTACACAGGGTACAGTTCTTGATTCTCCAACTGATATCAACGGCCTGAATGAGCAAAACTGGAAGTGAATCAAAAGCCTGGTACAGATCCAATGGGAATGGAGTTGAAACTTGGATCCTTGTCTCCTCCAGCAGACTTTTCTCTCTGATAGCAGGAGGGTGATACATATCCATGATGCAGGATTGGTAACAGTTGCATACTTCCTTTTTCATACACCTTTAATGAGAATCTGTGGGAAAGTCAAAGGCTTTCTGGAATATAAAGGTAGCTGCTGAGAAACTGGCTTTAGTTTTCTTAGGGGTTGGAAGTCAGCAGTGGTAGACAGAAGGGTGTTACCTTACCTCCCTCCTCATCAAAGCTTCTGTGGGGTTATTTCAGGTGTAATTTGTGAAAAGCTGAGCAGTAGGGGCCTCTCCACTGAACCTCTGCTGCGTTGCATCTCACTGTTTGACAAGTAGTATGGTAAAGCATTTCTCTGTACAAGGTCAGATTAATCTTTTTTTATGGAGTTTCACATGAATGCTTTGCTTTGGGATTGTTGTTTCTCCATGCATAAATCTTTATTATACCAATAGCCTACAGCCCCAGTGAACCAAACAAAACTCAATTTTATTCTTCTCAGTATTTATCACCGCAGTGAGAGGACTCCATTGAAAAACAACTGTGAGAGTTTCCAGCGGGTGTGCTGGGGTTTAGGTGCTGTGAGCCTTCAGTGATTTCATGTTTCTTCCTTCTAAATTGGAATGGTATGTGCCAAGCTGGGTCTGGACCTAGATTGGGTATCATTCCCTTTGGGATGATACTGAGGATGGAAGTGAAAATGATCTGTTGGAAGGTGCTGTGGACTAGAAGAGCAGGCTGTGCATGTGTCCATGCCTGCACTTTAATCTGGTGAATAGCAGGATGTGCTGCAGTGTGCAGGCCTTGCTGTGCAGCCAGCACAGGCTGAAACCTTGCTTGCTGCTTTCCAAGGTGTTGGTTTGGGTTCAGGTACAGCTCTTCTTTAGAAGGGGGATGACAGATGAGCTGACATGCAAGTGCTTGGAGCTTTTGCCAGGTGATGAGGGTGAAGCCTCTGCGTTGAGGTTGAGCTCACTTAATTAACGTTTGTAATGAAAGATACAGCACAGGTCTCCACTGTCTGTACACGTGGGGATTCCTAATACTTGTTAGTTATCTGTGATATAGCCATGGGGGCTCTGTCAATGCTTCCAAATGTAAAAAAAAAAAAAAAAAAAAGATAGAATTAGCTACTTTGTACTTTTATATAAAACCAAAATATTTTTCTATAGAGATAAAGGATAATCCTTATCTAGGTTTTGACTTTCTGAACCATGTACATTAGTTTTACTGTATGGCTTCCACATTTGCAGTGCATGAAACCAAATTCCCAGCTTGGAGGACCCTCTTAGTGTCTGTAGGGAAAGACTTAGACATGATACATCACCATCACTGAGAGGATTTTTATTCTGATATTACCTAAATTATGAGTGCCTGACTCCACAATTTTAGCATCTTTTTCTGATGTCAGTGTCATGCCTATTTCTCTAGTATGACCTGAGGAAGGCAGGAGCACTGTCAGGGTCTTGCCAGAAGGTCCAACCTCCTTCACTGGACACAATGGCACAGCTGGCAAGAGCAGCTCTCTGCTCAAGTCTGAAGCTGGTAGCTTTTAGCAGAGTTGGTGTTGTAGGGGGAAATACTCTTGAGATGTGAAATTTCACTGCATTTGTTACCAATTAAGATGAAATTTTAATTACTGTTCCTAGTATTAAGAAATAATGACATACTTGAGGAAACACCTCTTTTTGAGAAACGTCCCTCCAGACACCTCTCCTCCCCCTTTGCCAGTCTCTAGTTCATTCCCTGCACATTATACTCAGTCATGGGGATCAGTGCAAGATGTTTTTCTTTTATGGCCACTCTTTATTTCTTGCTCTTTTTTTCCCATGGCTCCAGCATGGTGTCCTCCCAGGCCACCATCCCCTCAAAGTCCTCATTCTTCCTGGGTATCCATGTACACAAGTGTCTCCTGCCTGGATTGTCTGTTGCTTATAGGTCCAGTTTTAGAAAAACCTGTAGCCAGATCATATCCTAAGCCAAACTATTCCCCATCTGCTGTTTAAAATGTTCTTACTTGGGGTAGCATTTTGCCTGCAGTCATTCCCTGGCTTCATCTGTACTCTCTCCATGATGCTGCATGCAGAGTAGAGAGGAAAAACTTTCTTGAGAGTACAGGAAAAACAGATCCTTACGTTTTATTCCAGTTCCTGGGCATACCTCCCATTCCAGGCCATGTCCTGTGAAGTGGGGCTGGAGGTTATTGACTTTGGGGAGATGGCAGAAAGGCACCACTGGTGCAGAAAAGATTTGTGGGATGGTTTGTGGCTTGCCTGGTTGTGTGTGAGCATGTGGGTGTACAGATTGCAGGCTTTAGCTGCTGAGCCCTCTCATCTGTGTGATGTGTGAAATTCAGACTCTTGAAAGCGAATAACTTTCCCACAACATCAATTTGTAGCTGGGTAAGACAAAAGGCTGAAATTTCTGTGCCTGAAATGGAGCTGCACTGTGTCAGGCCCCTGCTCTAAACACTGCAGTATGAGAGGATTTCAAATTAAAGCACCAGAAATTTAACCTGGGAATAATAGGATACTTTTCCCTGCTTCATTCTTAGAAGTAATTGGAGTGCTATTTTTGACGTTCTTCCAAAAGCTTTTATCCTTTCGACAGAAACAAGCACGGAATATATCAGCACAGACAATTAAGGTTTGGCAAAATGATAAGCTGACGAAACTGAGGTCCTCTGGTAGGAAATGCTGATCACTGTATATAATGGGTAACAAACAGTCTTTCTCCTTTGTTCTAGAAATTGTCTCATGCAATCCTGTCTATGCCAGGGAATTTCACAGGGAGAAAATGGTGTTTGCATGCACATTTTGGATAAGTGATGCTTTTATGGATGAGCAAAAAAGTACTCTACAGCCAAATAGAGCAAAGTGTCTGTGCATCTTTGCAAAAAAAGAATATGCCTTGTCCTGTTTCAGTTAATGCTATGCAGCAGGATAAAATTGTAAAAAATAAGCAAGCTGCACCAAGACAGGTTTGCAAAGCCATGCAGAAGGTCAGTGTTGGATGGTAATGGTATGGAAATCAGCTTGGATCATGGGCATAAATGAGGTCTGTGATTCAAAACTGGGCAGTAATAGGATCCAGTATTAGGGTCAGGCAGGTGTGAAAATACTGGTGATGAAAATCTGAAAATAAATAATTTAAGATTCATGGAGCAAAATGCAATGACTTCTGTAGACACAGTAATTGTACCAGGGAAGAAAAGTATTTTCCCCTTTGTGACTTTTTGCCCTCCATTCAGTCACATAAATCCATAGGTTCAAAGGTTTGGTTTTGGCTTACCAGGCAGTGCAGAAATTCTGATAAAGGCTTAGTAGCTATTAAAACTTTTATAGGTTTGCAGCCTTGTGGTTGAAGAGACAGTAATTGAGTTTTTCTCATGGGGATGGGATTCCAATTAAGCCGGTGTTGCACCCTTACAGGTTGCTAAGTGTGTGAATTTTATGTTATAGGGAGCTGGACCTTTGCCTCAGCCTAAAAAGTTTCCAAAATTACTCTCTCCTTTACCTATCTATGCAAAACTCAGTTTCATTTAATGCTCTGATAGCGCTCACTGTGGAGTCTGCAAGTGCTGTGTTGACGCTGCTGCAGACCCATCCAGTGTGGTAACAAAAGCAAAGGATGTGGTTTCCCAGAAGTGTTGGGCATTGCCAGCAGTTCTTCTCACTGAAGTCAATCAAAAAATAGCTGAGGGCTTTAGAGAACCTACCTGAAATCCCTGAGTTAAAAGTTTTTTATCCAGTCCTTTGAGCTTTTGACTCCTGGGTCTTAGGCAGTTCCATGGCTTATGAGAAGAAAGAGAGGTGGCCCAACTTTGCTTTGATGTCTTCGGTACAAATCAGCCCCTTTCACCTGAAACTCATGGGTTATTTGTGTAGCTCTCTGAAACTGCTCATAAAGCTAACTTGGTACACCTTTCACTTCCCCCTTGATCCCACCATTACCCTGGAAAGGAGCTGTGACGTTATGGCCCAGGCTACCTTCTCTTGCCATGGGAAGTTAAGCTGTGAATTTCATGGATATCATTGGATGTCATCACTAATATCCAGTGGGGAAAAAAAGAAAAAAGAAAACCTATCATGGAAAGACTCCTCCAGGTTTGCTGTCAAAGAGAGTACTGGCTTGCTCTTGGTGGGGTTTTAGGCTGTCCTGCTGAAACCAGTGCTATAAATGAGCCATGCCTATGCCCAGACACTGTGGTGTTGCCTCACTAGCCCTTATCTGCTTTTTCAGTTGCAGCAGCTTTGTATCCTGCTGCCTGTATGACTCCCATTCCCCATTCTGCATGATCTGCTGAATGTACTTGCTGTGCACCCAGAAAAACCTGAAATAGATGTTGATTGCTTTTGCTTTTGTTTTATCCCCTGTCCTTTCTTCTCTTGACAGTTTTTTATCATGCTGTTAATTATATTTCTGTTGGAGCTCACTGTTGTGATTCTGTTCTTCGTCTACACCGACAAGGTAAGTCAAATTCTTCATTTTTCTTTCCTCTTCAGCAAATTTATATGCCCCTTTTCCCTATAAATAAATCATAAAGCTCTTGGCTTGGTATGCACATCATGCTTCTGTCTTCCTTGAGACACTCCTCTCAGAAGGAGCTCTCTCAGAATGCATAAGCAGCCTGGCAGGACTGGGCTGTCTTGCTTGCTCAAGTGTACAACTCAAGGTCACAGATGCTGCCAAGTGCATCTGTCATTAACAAAAGAAAAAGGAACAAAAACCACACAAAAATGTCCACAAACAGAAAACAGAACACCCCACAAAAAAAAAAGCAAAGAAGCCAACAAGCCTTACTAGGAGCCTGTAGGAAGAGATACCTATCAGAGAGAGTATGATTTTAAAAAATATGTTTATGGTTTAAGAGCCACATTTATACTGTTAAAAATGAAGTGTCCTCAGCACAGGCAGAGGCATAAAATTCATTATCTTTCCACACTGCTCCTTGCAGCACATGTGTACTTAGAGCCTAGTGGAAAGCCAGGGTAAATGCATGAGAGTTCAATAAACACAGATTTTGTTTACACTTTCACATTTTCTGTGTTTGACCATTGTTCCTTCAGTTGTACAGGCAATATTGCCTACCTGAATTATCTTTATCATTTTCTTTAAAAAAATCTTACATTAGTAAATCCAAAACAAGGGCATAATTAAGTGCCACATGCTTATTCAATCAAAATCAGAAGTCTCTTACAATTAAAGACTGAAGGAACTTAATAATCACAGGGAAAGTGGCAAAATTTTACCATGAATTAACATTCATCAGGTACATGAGTGGTAAACACTTCCTTTAGGAATGGAAAGACAATAGCAAAAAAAAGACCACTAAAACCAACACCATGTTCATTAATACATAAATTATTAATATAATTACTAGTATATTAGTGATATGAGAGTTTATATATTAATCATATCAGTGAGGCACTGTCAGATGCACTTCTGAAGGACTTGAAAGAGCTAGGTTCTCTAGCATTCTGTAGCTGGAACATGGAATTAACTTGCCAGGTAATTACAGTAGAAGGGACAATTTAAAATTTCTTGTATGCATTATTGGATTCTGAATTACTTGTCAGCTCTTGGCAGGAAGATCTACACATCATACAGGAGTAAAGGCATCTACTTAATATGCAGTGGGCCTCCAAAACCAAAACACAACACTTGGTTATGTTTAGAAATAAAATCAGTTAGAAAATATTATCATAGCATTGTATAACAGGCTTGCCTCACTGTGAATATAATGTTGAGTTTTGGTTACACAACTAATGAGAAGTGCAAGAAAGATGGAATAGAGTTGTCATGAAAAGGATTTATGGAGACAACCTGGATTCAATTTAGGAAATGAAAGAGATCCTCTGCTTAGGTGGTCTTACAAAGAGTAATTATAGTAGTTTCTAAAATAATGGCAGATCTAAAATAAAGACCTGTCCTGAACACAGAAGAAATAAATGGAAATGTTTCTGATTAGGTTAATAAAATAAATATTTCTTATTTTCCAGTTCATTATTTGGTAGAACTCCTGTTGTTGGCTGGTGTTGAGGCTGATAGATCAGTAAATGTGTGGTTATGGAGGAAAGAAAAGAAACCAATGAAGTATTTTTATTCATAATGCAGTCAGTTCTACTAGGTTGGCAGGTGTGTCACAGAGAATATTCATCCTCGCTCTTCGGAGGTTAAAACAGTGAAAAAGTATCAGAAGGATTCCCTCCCTCCTTCAGCCTGTTGGTTTGCAGTGGGTTTTATTGATTGTTAATAAAGAGATCAGGAAATTAACTTTCCTTTGACTCACATACTGCAGGAGGTAGTACCCTGCAGTTGTCTGTAAGATCAAAACAGAGTCTGAAATATGGGCTCCAGTTCTAGTGCAGTTTTACTGAGTTAACAAATTGCTGTAGTCTGGGTATTGCAGATGATCAAATTTGAGGCTCTTAATGTTCCTGTATGACTTTAAATCTTATACTGAGAAAATCAATAGTTTATGTTACACTTGCAGTCCTGCCTACTGCAGAATAAATAATCCAGCAGCAGCCTAAAACTAGTATTTTCATATAGCATGTGTAGAGTTTGTGTGCTGGCTTTCCTGATGTGAAAAACAATATTGCCACATGTGTGGGAAATAGTGAGCCCAGACAAGTCCACCCAGTAATTCAGTTAATGTAGATCCTTGGAAAATCAGTGAATGAACATTCTACACTGACACCTGTCCATCAGAAGAAAGTAGGGTTAGTTTTGTGTGCAGGAGAAGAGGACTCTGCAGATGATCACTTTGAGCAATACCAGCCACAGGGAGGGTGTGCATCCATGTGTGTGGGCTCCCAGGCAGTGAAGCAGCCTCTCTGTATCCATTGCTGGGGCTGTTGCTTTAGTGCTGTGTTTGTTACTAAAAAGCATCATGGCAAAAAGTTCTTTAGAGCCATTCACAGATAGTTTTTTGGCGCAGGGCTTTTGTTCACTTGCTGTGGAAGGGTGTGCAGCTGTGGAGGTAAACTAGGACTCAGAACAGCCTCAACTGACCTGTTCTCAATTGTTCTCATTTGTCAGCTTGGGAGAAGCCCAAAAACTGCCTCTGCCTCTAATTCTACCGACTTGGTCTTCTCTGAGCTTTTAAGCAGCCAACTTGGTCTTATGCCCTAGAATGTAATATTTTCTTTTCCTGATGGATAAATGATCTAATGAGATAAATGCTGCCCTGAAGTTGAAAACTCTTTCTCTGAGCTGGCCATCCAGTGTGATATTGTGAAGAGAGGGGGACTTGGAGACAACTCAGGAGTCCACAGTGTAGGAAGAAAAAGGGGTGTAGTGCCTTGTCTCATGTAACTGCACTGTTACAACTCCTTGGCAGAGCCTGAGCTCACGCCTTGTTCAGTATTCTTCCACCTGGCCTGACTATTTGTGTTGCAAAATATGAATCTCTTGACTTCTGCAGAAGTGAATATAAGCTGTGATGGAATGCATTCCTAGGGATGGTTGTCAGGAAAAACCTATAACCCTTTTGTTTTGTCCTGGCTGTTCCCAAAGCAGCAGAGGGACTGGTTCATAGGCTGTCTTCAGCTCAGTGTGAGCACCTGAGGCACCTGGAAACTCCTGTTGGCATTTGCACGCATTCATATAAGAGTTCCTAAAGTGTGGCTTTTAAATTTTTGAGAAGAGCCAGCCCACGAGATTGGGTATTGAATGGAGTTGGTGTGGTTATAGAGCTAAGGCAGGTTGTTATCACTCTGAGTGTAGGTTTTTTTCTCGGGCTACATTTATGCCACCATTTGAAGCAGTCCAAACTCCAGTGACATTTTTGGAGTCGTGTGAAGGGTTATGTGCATGGCTGCCTATCTATAGGCAGAATATTCTCTTTTGTATGTTTTGTTTTGATTCCATCAATGGAGAAGCAGCATTTGGCATTTTTATACGCTTGACATTTCTGTATGGGGCTCTCTGGGTATTTATAACAGATCCACAGAGTACTGAGAGGGTTAACCTTAATTTTATTGTGATAAGGAGAAAGCAGCAGAGCCCTATCCTGCTAGAGGTTGGATACTTGTATTTCTCAACACCAGATTGGATCCTGCTAGAATGTAAATTATGCTAATAAAATGCACAGTCTTGTACCAGTTCTAACTTGTATAATCCTCCTGGTTTTAGTGTCTGTATTTATTTTTACTGTGATGTTTTTCCTGGAAGCATAGAAAAAGAAAAGTCCATATTTACTTTTTTTGCTGCTGTAGTAGGTGGAGTTTTTTCAGTAAATGTCTGCATTTTATGTGATTTTAGAGACAGAGCTATATAATACCCACAAATGAAAGAACATAACTAAACTGCCATAATGTGGGGTTGACTTTTGTGCCTGTTGTGTTTGGTGGGGAAGTGGGGAGGCTTAAATTGTTGGGTTTTTGTTTTGGTTTTTTGTCTTTTTAAATGTCAAACATAACATGCAATATAAGTAACGTAAGTCAGAAAAAGAACAAAAGCACTGAAGAATCATTAACTATCATATTTGATTATGGGAGCAGTTACTGTTATTGGCAACTTGAAGTTATGATGAGAATTTTCAGTAAAGATTAGGCCATTAACTCACTTGGGTCCCTGTGAAAGTTACAGCCAAAATTCCATGCCTGCTTAGCTGTGTTGAAAATGGCCCACAGAATAGCCCCCAGAGGATTGAAAAATAATGGCTACTTCTGTTTTTCATGAAATGTGTGAAAATGTTCTTGTGTTCCATGCTGCTCCAATATAGCTTTTGCTGCTATCCTATAAAAATATATATTCTCTAGATTGATGCATTTCTTGCTTTTTTTCCGAAAAGGAATTGAAAATTGTTTTAATTTCTGATTGATATTTTACCTCATCCTATACAAAGACAGCAGGTAGGAATTTAGTGGATATGATTTCAAATATAGCTCAGACCTCACAACCTCTTACACATTTGGCTTTAGAAAATGGAAAAACAGAATCTCTTCCACTTGCTGCACTCATTTGCAGTTGCTCACAGAAATGATCAGATCCTGCTGAGCTGCTCACTGGTGTGAGGGGGGGATTCACAAAAAACCTGATGGAATTATTCATATATAAAGTTTAGCTCAGTTCTACTGCAGAAACTTGTTCTCATTGGGCTTCTGTCAAGAGAGCTTAAAAGTTTTCCATGTTTGCCTTTGACAGTGCAGCAGAAATGTCTCCTCAGGTAATGAGGTGCCTCATGTTCCCAGTCAGCACAGCCCACGGGGCTGTCCAAAATGCACACACAGGGCGTGTTAACATTGCTGAAACTGGGGAAACAGAGCCTAAAGTGAAGAGACAAGATCACCCAAACTGTGTGCAGTTTAGAGATGGTCTTAACTTACTGGAAAACAACAAGCTGTGGAAAATCCCTCAAAACTGGCAGAATGGTCACTGCACCACTCTTCAGTCAGATGGCCCTTTTCTAGCAGTGTTTCTCCATCAGCATTTGACTTTGCCTACACCATCCCCTTCTCACT